TAAAGAAATGGCGTGTCGTCTATTTCCGCTGTAGCAAACGTAGTACATAGGACGACATCTAGAAGTCATCTACCTCGCCCTATTCACTACAGATGTCGCCCTATGCACTATGCGGAACTTTTCAAAGCAAAGGTTTTATGGTGTCGGACACACAACATTGAAAGTTTCTGGATCCACAACATTGAAAGTTTCTGGACACACAACATTGCAAGTTGATAAAAGCGTTGTAATAAAATTGATATTATTGTGTATTTTTTCTTTAATAAAGAGTTGTATATTTTTTAAACAGATTATAAATAAGTCGGCTATTTTATTCTGGGGTCCCACATACATTTACAAGTACTAGGTGGCTGTGTGAAAATTATGTTAGCATTCACCAGTGGTGGTCAAACCACAGGAAGGTTTTGTAGGGTTAAAGTTCCTCCTTCTTGGTGGGAATTAGTAGTATTTTTATTATTTTCGGTTATCCTTAGGAAAATTTAAGCTATTTTTTAAACAGGCCTGTTCTGCTGGGAGTTAATGGGTAAACCTGTTGGAAAATAGTAGACCACCCTAGTTTTCAATCTATAACCCGCAAAAAATCGTAAGAGCTCTGTAATTTAACATAACGGTAGATAAGATTATTATAATTATTAATAGCGACATAAATTACTCCAACAACTTAACTTTTTAAATTTGTTATTTTTTTAAATTTAAATAGTACATACGGATCTATAGAGCAGGTTTTCCCAAAGTGGGTGCCGCGGCACCCCAGAGCGTATGTATGCCTGGGGAGCCGCTGGTGGCTAGAGTATACTAAGTAGTGGTGCGGGCAAATTCTTTAATTCACAAGGCAAGCGGTTTTATCAAACTTCAAAATGGGGGCCAGAAAATCAAAAAATTTTAATTTTTATTAAAATTACCTTCAGCGGCTCGTCAAAGCCCATACACAAAACAGATGGCTTGCAGAAAAGGGATATTTCGCTTGGTTCGTCAAGCCGCTTATGTGGTGTATTTCGCTCTTAAGCGTAGTCCCCTATTACGTTTTCGCAACGTACCCTTTTCACAAGCATTTTCGGTACTTTTGTTGTTCTAATCCGCGTTTCATACACTTTTCTTCCCGTTTTCGGATTAATTTTTGGATTTTTTGCTGGCTGGGCTGTTCTCGTAACAAGCGCGGCAGCTTCGCGCCCGTGTATATGTTACTTATTCTTTGGACCTTCACAATCACACTGTGAAAGAGCGAATCAACACGATTTTAGAGGCAGTCGAGAACGAACTTATAAAAAGTTTGAAAACTTGTGAATTTTTTAGTGTGCAACTTGACGAAAGTACCGACGTAGTGGGACTTAATGTTTTTCTCGTGTTAGTGAGGTACCCATTCACAATGCAAATCGAAGAAGAACTTTTGATGAGCGAAGTACTTGAGACTTACACCATTAGCGAAGAAATTTTTAAAGCTATCGATAAATTTGTACAGAAAAATAGTTTGAAATGGAGCAAGTGTGCGGAAATTTCCAGTGGTTGGAAAAACGAAGGGAGGAGGATGTCTAGGATGACTGTATGAAAGGTCGGTATTACCTGCTGACTAGGAAGATGCCGCCACTAGATTTAAAACCCGTATTGGATGAAGCTGGGATGATTAGGGATGTTCCGATACAAGTAAATACGAGTGTGTACTCGATACTTTTGTTTCGATACCAAATACTTTTTTTACTCGAATCGTTGTTTCGATACCTACTTGGTATCGAAAGAAAAGTACTTGTATCGAATCGATTTGAGCAAGTGCCATATCTTGCCGGCTATATTTTTTCTATGGAAAATAATTGCTTCCGTTTTATGAAAAATAATTGCTTTACGCAATGGAACCGCGAAAACGTGTTGCTAATGAACAAATATATCGTCGTTTAAAGTACAAATCCGCGTATCGTCATTCTGCAAAACCGCGTAACTGACATTGGTTGCCAAAAATTGGATTTGCTCACACAAGCTCTTGTCTCAATCTGTACCCTACAAGAACACTACGCGTTATATAACGAATCATGTAACGCAGAGTTGTATGTAAATGCATGTTATACTCCCATAGAATGTTTACGTTAATTTCCTAAGGGCGACATGAAAAATCTAACAGGATATCGTGTTATAGATATGTTATGTGTAACATATGTTTCCTGTACGTGTGTAAATTTTGACATGTGGCTTTGAGTGTATTGGTGAAATATTTAAATGTATTGGAGACTGCGTTAGTCGTGTCTGGTAGGATATCCATTCGTTCTGAAATATACTAGCCAGAAATGCGATAGCTTTATAAAAATAGAGCCATTTGAAATATGAGTGCTTTTACTCTCTAGAAAATAATTTCTACAACTTCTCATACGTGGTTTTGCATTTTGCTGATACGCGGTTTTGCATTTTGTTGATACGCGGTTTTGCACTTTAACCGACGATATATATCTATACCTCTACTGCAAATATATTGAAAATATTTGAGAAAGGGGTTTTTGAATCGGCAGCTGAGATAAGGCATTTTTGAACCGAATTCTGAAATAGGATGTTCTTGAAAAGTTTTCTGAAATAGGACGTTTCTCAATCAAATTCCGAATAAGGGCGCTTCTGAAAAGTTTTCTGAGACAGGGCGTTTTCGAATTGGCTGCCGAGATAGGTCGCTCTTCCCCTCAGGTGTCGCATAAGGTACATCACAGATAACGCCTGAAAATTAATTTCAGTTTGTTGCATATAAAAGGATGAAAAATTATCGATATAAGTAGGTATCGATACATTCGGCTTACTCATATAAGTAGTATCGAAATAGCGATTTGAGTAAACCCAGTTGAGTAGGTATCGATACTTTCATGGTATCGGAACGTCCCTAGGGATGATAACAGAGGCCTGCGAAATTAAAATACGTATTTGGTTTTTTTTCTAGCACGTCGAGATTTTTTTATTGGTGATGTATATTTTAAAATTTCTACACACATCATTCATTACATTATTTCGATATTTTTTTTTCGACATTTTTATTTTCGACATTTTTTGTTTTCGACATTTTTCTTTTCGACAATTTTTTTCTCGACATTCTCGATTTTCTAACTATTTTTTTTCGACATTTTTTTTCGGTGTTTTTAGTTTCGACAATTTAAATTTCGACATATCGTACCAGACCCTAAATACTACGAAGGGAGTCAAGAGAGTTCTGGATGCAAGTGTATGCTGTTGGCAAGATTGCATTAAAAATACTAGTGACTTTTACTTTTACATTTCTATGTGAGACTGCATTTTAACAAATGCTTACATAAGCAAGTAATTTTTAAGCAAAAAACAAAATCGACTTCAATTCCCATATAAAATTTTAGATTATCGTTAATCTCTTCATGATCCAATGTTCGGATTTAAACCAAATTCGAATGGGACCACTTGTGAGGTAACCTTTTCTTTCCTTTATAAAAAGAAATATAGTAATCGGTTAACGTGGTCCAAAGTTATGCGGTAGCATACATAAAAAAATAATAATAAAAAAATATTCCGACGAATTGATAACCTTCTCTTTTTTGGTGTGAAACAAAATTGATGACTTATTGTTAGTATGAAAACTAGAAACACAGTAATCAACTTATTGAGCATTAGACCTCTTCTCTTTCAAAAACAAAAGGATAAATGTTCGGTAATTTGTTCAATGGCTTTGGGGTGGCAAGCGGAGACGGACACATTAAAAAATTGGGTAAAATTAGAATTTTGACAGAGAAAATGTAAGTCCAACTCCGGCTACGCTGCCACGCTACCACAGTATTTCTTAATAATTTGTATATGAAATTTAGAAATCTTAATTTTAAACTAACGTGTAATTGTTTGACCACACGTGTGTGTCAAAATTTTTTGCTTTGGGTTAAGCATTTGGACACATTAACCCAAAATTATTGTACAAGTAACCGAGCCGTACTCAACAATATACCTTTTGCATGTTCAAATTTCGATTCTAAGAACAAAATGTTTGTAAATAACCAAAAAATTAATAAAAAAATTTGGAGAATTTTAGATATTGGATATGGTAGCACGAAATGTCACAATCTACTTAATTGTCAGGTTGTTAATATGGCGACGAAAAAGTGACAATGAGACTACCTTCTTTTTTGTAACATGGTATACAGTAAGCCAGCCATTGACAATATGCTTATTTGAAAATTTCCCGTAGCGAATGTCATGCATTAGTCACTTAAGAGTCTTCTACGGAAAAGTTATGTCTTAAATGACTTCTGGCTCCGTTTGTATGGAAGTCGTTCATGACTTTTTCATATAAATGGAAATTTCGTCGTTGATGTCATCTGCATGACTTGGTCATGCAGTGATCATTAATGACATTCAAGCGACAGTATCTTGCAATGGACTTTTTATAAGTGACCGCTGCAAGACATTGTCTGTTATAAGTCTTTGATAGGAGTACACCTGCATGACATTGTCACTAGTGTCATTGTCAGCTATATGTCGCATAGGATTCGCAGCAAGTGCGACGATGTCACTAAATCCTCATTAGTGACGATATCACCGGTGACCATTTTCGCTACTGGGCTGTGAAAAAATATCAAAAAATACATTCAAACAAAATGTCAAATAAGCATAGGTATTTACATGTATTTGTTTTGGCTATCTGGATTACTGTATACTGTGGGGCTGAGCAGTTGAAATATCCGTCAAAGGTAAAACACAACGCACTAAAGCTATGAACATCATCATACTTCTATGTTTTTTTTGCGTATACAGTCTCTCTTTTTTAGAATATGCAAAAAAGTTTTTGAAGCTGTAGCCTTACAGTCTAACCTAATATCCGCGGCTTGCGTTTTGGTACGCACGGCGTCGCATTTGTTTTTTTGCGTCACCCGAAATTGGCTTGCGTGCGTTTGTATTTGATTTCGTCGAGTGAAACGTCAAATCAAAATGTCACGCAGAGCAAAAATTGGAAATTGAGTTAGCTTCATACGCACGGCTTTCAATTTCGGTTGGTCCCATACAAGTTGTATGTGCATGAGAAATTTTTGACCGTAAATTGGCGGCGTGCGTGAATATTAGGTAAGCCTGTTAACGAAAATGTAGCCATTTCAGAATTTATGTAGCATTGTTGCTTTTCATTTTAATTATAGCACTTTTGCTCCAATTGTGGCTAAACGGCAACGCTGGTTGTAGGGTGGATCAGATACAAGCGCCTATCTGATAGATACGAAGGTCAGTTGGCGCCCGCATGCCGAACTGATAACTGGAAAGTTGCAAAGTCTTATATTTCCGCGCATATGTACATAAACCCACATTCATACATTCATACATCTGTGTTTACTATAGGCATACAACAGTGAAATAATGGTAAGTCATTGACCTAAAAATGTAGACTTACAACTGAAAACAAACAAAGAAGCTGTGAATGAAGCGTATTTATACATGTGTAAATATTCGCATGTTTGGAAATAAATGTATATGCTATACAGATATCAACACTTAAAAGGTCAATAATAGGGAATTTAAATGAGGCGATTTTTCAGGCAACTTTTGAAAGCCACAATCGTCTGGTGTAAACGGCCTTTCAACTAATCGACTGTGAAAGTTGAATCATGTAAATTCCCTATAAGTTGGATATGCGAGTATTAAAATATGTACTTATGTATGTTCATACATAACCCCATACATATGTATACACTTAATACATATGTATGCATGTATGCACACATACTAATACATGTATTTTAATTAAAATGGAATTAATTGCAAAGTGAGGAAAACATAGATCACACTTTGAAATACATTTTTTATACAGTGCAGTGGAAGCCAAACAAAAAAGTAGGTGCTCATAACTTTATATGAAATACGCGTTGTGAAAGCGGTCATGCAAACTGGTTCCGAGATATTTTATTGGTGCGCTCACGGTTCTTTGTTGCGTCGTTTTCGCTGGCGGTTTCGACATCGGATTTCAGGTGTTTTATTATGACACTCAAATATATGTAACTAAATTTTATTAAATAAATTTCAATGAATTATACAATAGAATTCAGGATGCTTCTTTGTGTTTAATCAATGAATCGCCAGAAAAAATTGCACATAATGCGATAACGGAGTTGTGGTCGTTATTTTGATTGAATTGTCTAACGCTTTTGTTATGGCAATTACATTGGTAGCTTAACAACCGTTGCGAACAAAAAGTAAGATGAGGGGCGAGTTTCGGGAGCATACTCGACGAATTTATTAAATGAATTATATTGCACCAGCTGAGAACATAAACTTTCGGCGCCAATGACAACCGTAAAACAGCTGATTTTAGGAAACAAACAAACAAAAACATAAGAATGTCAAACCGGAGAAAAAAATGGCTGAATTTTACGTAATAGATTGCTGAACGTAACAGATGGCTGCAGTGAGTTAAACCGCAAATAGATGGCGCTGAAACTGTTAAGTTATGGCAATGATTCAATAATAGTGTTACGATTATCCTCGAAACCTTGAGGGATTTCCCAAATAGACTCG